GGTTTGTGAAGCACTTTTGTGTATATAAATAAACTTTGATTTGATTACTTGAAACAGAGTATTCCAACACTTTATATGAAGTAAAAGTATTTCTTCTACCTGGATTTGGGTCACTCTGAAAGGCATAGTTGCTCCTCATTAAACAAGTTTTTTTTGCACTGAAACTGATTTCAACCCTTTTTCCTGGACAGTGTCACATGTTGAGGGTCTTTAAAGTGCAGCGGGGTCTCACCCTGCTTCAGATCACAGACAGCAGGGGTTGAGGGTTAAAACGGTCCTCTGCAATCCTCATGGTAAGTTTCTCCTGTTCCCATCAGACATGAAATCTGAAGGACCTCAGCAGGTAAGATGTGTAATGATCTGTGAAATATCTGACGTGGTTTACATGCTGAGGCTGAGCTGGAGCGTATCGTCGTTGAACAGAAACATCCCGGTTCAGGTTCTCGAAGAATGTGAAGCTGCAGGTTTACCCTCCTCTGCATCCAGTGAACAGACATGGTTTGCATGTGGGTTGGTAAATATTGTGTGTTTCTGCACCTGTTAATGGTAAAATAAAGCTTTATTGTCTCCCTTAGGAGACATTTGTCTTGGGCATCGAGATAATACACATAAAACATTCAGGTCAATCAGTCATAGATACAGGACAGAGATCACATATCACATGGCAAAGAAACAAACAAGAAACATACAGGTACAGCACTTTCCCTATTGCATTCATACATCATCAAATATTGCACTTTTCCCTATTGTATTTTTACATAAAAAGGAAGCTGGGGTGGAGCTGGGGTGGAAGCTGGGGTGGATGCTGGGGTGGATGCTGGGGTGGAAGCTGGGGTGGAAGCTGGGGTGGAAGCTGGGGTGGAAGCTGGGGTGGAAGCTGGGGTGGAGCTGGGGTGGAAGCTGGGGTGGAAGCTGGGGTAGAAGCTGGGGTGGAAGCTGGGGTGGAAGCTGGGGTGGAAGCTGGGGTGGAGCTGGGGTGGAAGCTGGGGTGGAGCTGGGGTGGAAGCTGGGGTGGAAGCTGGGGGTGGAAGCTGGGGTGGTGGTGGGGTGGAGCTGGGGGTGGAGCTGGGGTGAAAGCTGGGGTGGAGCTGGGGGTGGAGCTGGGGTGGAGCTGGGGTGGAGCTGGGGTGAAGCTGGGGTGAAGCTGGGGTGAAGCTGGGGTGGAGCTGGGGTGGAGCTGGGGTGAAGCTGGGGTGAAGCTGGGGTGGAGCTGGGGTGGAGCTGGGGTGGAGGCTGGGGTGGAGCTGGGGTGAAGCTGGGGTGGAGCTGGGGTGGGAAGCTGGGGTGGAAGCTGGGGTGAAGCTGGGGTGAAGCTGGGGTGGAGCTGGGGTGGAGCTGGGGTGGAGCTGGGGTGGGAGCTGGGGTGAAGCTGGGGTGGAGCTGGGGTGGAAGCTGGGGTGGAAGCTGGGGTGAAGCTGGGGTGGAAGCTGGGGTGGGCTGGGGTGAAGCTGGGGGTGAAGCTGGGGTGGAGCTGGGGTGGAAGCTGGGGTGGAAGCTGGGGTGGAAGCTGGGGTGGAAGCTGGGGTGATGAAGCGGGGGTGAAAGCTGGGGTGGAGCTGGGTGAAGGCTGGGGTGGAGCTGGGGTGGATGCTGGGGTGGAGCTGGGGTGAAGCTGGGGTGGAGCTGGGGTGGAAGCTGGGGTGGAAAGCTGGGTGTGAAGCTGGGGTGGAAGCTGGGGTGGAGCTGGGGTGAAGCTTGGGTTGAAGCCTGGGGTGGAATGCTGGGGTGAGAAGCTGGGGTGGAGCTGGGGGGGAAGCTGGGGTGGAGGCTGGGGGGGAGCTGGGGGTGAAGCTGGGGTGGAAGCTGGGGTGGAAGCTGGGGGTGGAGCTGGGGTGGAAGCTTGGGTGAAGCTGGGGTGGAGGAAGCTGGGGGTGAGAAGCTGGGGTGGAAGCTGGGTGGAGCTGGGGTGTGAAGCTGGGTGGAAGCTGGGGTGGAAGCTGGGTGTGAAGCTGGGGTGGAGGGGGGAAGCTGGGGATGGGAAGCTGGGGTGGAAGCTGGGGTGGAGCTGGGGTGGAGCTGGGGTGAAGCTGGGGTGGAAGCTGGGGTGGAAGCTGGGGTGGAAGCTGGGGTGGAGCTGGGGTGGAGCTGGGGTGGAGCTGGGGTGGAGCAGCAGCAACATGAAACACAGCAGCATAGCGAGGCAGAGGCAGGAAGACCTGGCAGCTTAAATAGAGCGGCATGTTTAGGAGAAAGTGTTTGGTTGGTTGTAAGAGGGACGAGGTGCGTCACGTGTTCATGTATGATTGGCGCTCGAGTTGACTGCCTGAACTAGCTCACTAGGCTTCGCCCCATTTGTGCATGTCTGTATCTAGTAAGCCTATCAAACGTGCATCTACTATAAGAAACTGATGGCATATTATGCAAAAGGTGAGAGATTCAATATATTTACATGCATCAACTCAAAGGTAGCAACACTGTGAAGAAAGATCTACGGTTTAAAAACTCTCATACAACAACAATCCAAGTCTCATGTATCCTGCTGTATGCTCTCTACTTCAAGAACACGTGCATTTTTACAAATTCTTAAAACAATTTTGCATCAACATAATTACACGGAGGAGTAGTGTCCCTGCAATCTGAGACTGCTCTTCTTGTGGTCAATAATAATGTATTTCCCACGGCTTTAAAAGATGCTGAATCTAAGTTTCCATCAGAGTGAGGCAAATCTGACTTTTCACATCAACTGTTTTTTTATCAGCTGTTTAAAGCTTTTGTTGTCCTTCCCGCCTCCGCGTATTGACTCTGAAATCTTTACATTTCTAAAACCCTTCCTGCCGAGTCGATGCAGAGCTATTATCGTCTCCCTGCAACAGATCTGTGATAAAGCAGCCTCCTCTCAGTCCACATGGCACTTGACTCAAAATCAAGCAATCTGGTCCAATCCTGGGCTTTTTGTCCCGCAGATCCATGAAGTCAGCGGGGCCCTTTCCTATTTTAAGATGGACAAATGTATTTGTTGCCATAGCAAAGTTTCCAGGGAAACCAATCAGTGACAGACGGACCCAAAATAAATAGGAGAAAGAGAATTTCATTTGAATGAATCCACTCAGGTGCTCAAATGCCAGGCTGCATGTGCTTTTTAAGGTCAACCCGTCTTATTATAGCTTTTATAATGACTTACAGACTCAAGCTCTGTGCAGTCGCTGCAGAGCGAGAATACACATAATGTGTCTCTTTTGATGAGCTGAAAAACACAGTGTCATCATGGCTTTAATGCAAGGCCTTATTCATGGAGTCAACATTGGGGGGGACCAAAAATTCAATCAAAATTTGAATACAAATTTCCTGCCATTCTAAAGGAAAATATATAAAAATGCACTAACAAATGGGATACTTTAAAACCTGTTAAACCCCATGCCCCTGCCTGTGGGGGCAAAAAACAACAATATTAACGAAACTGTGTCTCAGGCTTGGGCGTAGGAAGCATCCTCAATGTGTGTGGGACAATTTGACGGGGGGTGTGGGCAGGTGGTGGACCTAACCTCCTCTAGGGGGGTCCGGGGGCATGCTCCCCCGGGAAGATTTTTTTTAAATGTTGAAGTTAAAAGCATCAATCTGGTGCACTTTGAGAGCAACATTAGGGACTAAATCTATGGATACATCTCTCAACACCATATGAAACAGAACTGAACAGATTTACTTTTTCTTTATGCATATTTTACAAAACAATCCCCTTTAAACTGTAGTATGAGTTGGAATTATTTCATACCTGTTATTCTCTTATTTTGTATTATTATAATGATCATATAAAGGTGTGCCTTGGAAATATTTGTTTTGCATCAATGTTGATACAGGGTACTTATTATATGTTATAGTTTGGATTCCTACAGCTTTTAGTCTACTATCCCATCATTCAAAGGTGGTTTTCACTGTAAGTAATGGTTTATTTTTTGGACGGACACTATAATTTACACTTTTTTACTATGTTCAATCTGAATTTACTTTAAAAACATCTATATTGACTGACTTTTTCTACATCCAACTCACAGGTTTATCATTGCTTTGAGAAAAAGAGTATTCATTTACCCCTTTTAGAAGTGAAGATATAGTCAATTGTTCTGGGAATGTCATTTTCGAGCCTGAGACCTGAAAAACAGGCTTGGGGCTTAACTGGTTAAAATGTTTTACCATAATGTCTAATTGTGCATTGTATTACATCACCCTATTTTATCTAGTTTAGCTTTTCTTGTTTCGTTGTTTGTAATGGCAAAGATTAGGGATGAATAAAGTACATCATAATCATATTAAAGCATTTAAATCCATAGAAAGGTATGTGCCACGCAATTTCAGTAGAAATAGGAACACTTTATTGCCCTTTTGTTTTGTTGAAATACTATTTCATAATAATTGTAGAGTATTTATTTAATTAATTCTGGCGCCTTTGGTATTCCACAGATGTCACACATCAGTTTTAAATCTTTCCACACTCTACAAATGACAAAAATAAAATAGAAATAATCCACATGAATAAATTGCCCACCAAACCCTGGCTAGCAACTGAAACCAGCTAGCCCACAGCTAGTTAGCTACTATTCCTGAAAAGTTTGGTTTTAACATCAGAACTACATGTTACTTACACAAAGAAGCTAAACCGGAGGGTTCATTAACATTACCATTACGAAATAAAATAATTACTTAGATTACTTTAGGGCTAACTAGAAAAGATACCAGAACTGATGGAGGGCAAATTAAAACATGACTGACCTGCTTGGAGCATCAAGCTAACTGAAGCTGGACTCAGACGTGCGACAGCTAAATACACCCCCGGGTACAAAATAAAGGTATGCATAAACAAACAAGGCGGAACCAATTTACATATGAAAAGAATAGATCATTTTGGTGAAGTTCACAATAACAGAAAATAAAGATTTTCAAGTATACAAATATCCAAAATAAAAAAGTCATAGAATAGCAATTTTATTTTAATAAATAAAATGTTTTTGCTATTTATTGGGGGGGACTTTTTGAGTGGGGAGATACATTGGGATGTGTCCCCCCCAATGTATATGGTGAATTCGGCCCTGCTTTAATGGTTTCCTCCATAGAAAGCTACAAAGTGAGAGTGCCGTGTGAGATTGAGTGAAATCAAATAACAATGTTTTTACCCCTGGAAAAAGAAAACAAGATGACTTGTGGTTGGGATATCCTTGTTTTTATACCCACGTTTCGTGACACTTGCAGCACATAATGTTCACAAAAATTAGGTGGTTAAAACCTAACCTAACCTACTTCAGTAAACGCAACAGCAGTGAAATACTCTGTGACACGTCAGTTCACATGTTTACTCCTAAATAAAAGTACACAGTTATTGGCTTTGAAATATACTCAAATCACCCAAAGTAAAAGTACTCAAGATGTATGATTGGTGGCAGCAGCTCAGTCTGTAGGGACTTGGCTTGGGATTTAAAGGGTTGCTGGTTCAAGTCCCGATTGGACCAAACAAAAGGAGTGTGGACTGGTATCTGAGGTGTCGGTTCATCTTCTGGGCATTGCTGAGGTGTCTTTGAGCAAGAAACCAAACCTCCCAAATGGCACCGGAAAAACCTGGAAGCCACTTTGCTCTGACACCTCTCCATAGAAAATATGTATGTGTTGTGCATATCTGAATACATGTGTGTGTTTGTACTGTGTGTCTTCAGCAGCAGAGTGAACAAAGGGTTGTATTCTTCTTCATATTGGCTCTTATATTGTACAATGTGCACATTTGTACTCTAAGTTCCCCATCTCTGTGTTTGTCATATGGATGAAGTAGAGAAGAAATTACAATTTGTCTTCCTGAGTTGTCAAAGAATAAAGTTATTTTGAAATACTCAATGTACAAGTACATCAAGCTAATTCTAAATCCTCTGTTGATTGTATATACTCTGTTACTAAGTAAATGTATACAGTACTGTTCCTTTAGTATGAATATATAAATATATTGATATCAAAATACACGTCAAGTACCAAAGTAAAGATTGTCTTGCCTTCATTTTCAAATCATACAGTTAAATGATATGGTTATTATGTCTTATATGTCGTCACAGCTGGTAAAGGTGAAGCTAATTTTTATACATATGTATACTGCTGCTGGATGTCTTAACCTATAATTATGTAAACTTGTATTTATTATATATTCTATTTGAGCTGAATCTGTAAAGTTAATAAAGCAGTCAAATCATTTTAGTGGAGCAAAAAGTACAATATTGTCTTAAGTGTAGAAGAAGCATAACGCATACAATATTAAGGCAAGGTAAGGTATACGTTTATTTATGTAGCACATTTTCAGACACAGAGCCAATTCTTTACAACACTTACTAATAAGACACCAGAAAGGAATACAATAAATAACCATAATGGAATAACAGATTCATAAAAACCATGCATAAAAGAGATACAGAATAGTCTAATATAAGTAACTCTAAATGTACTTCAGTAAATCTTTTTCCCAGGTTCACTTTGTGACTGGATCTGTGGCTGCAGGTTAAACATGTAACCTGTTAGATTCCTCTGATATGTAACCAGTATGTTTTTGTCCACTTCTCCTGGATGGAGCGCAGTTTGATCTCATTGGTCAGCTGCAGCCTGAGCCGGATATAAAGCCCGGATCTCCGCAGCAGAGACCGACTGAAGGCGCAGAGCAGCGCCGCGCAGCGCACAGCTTACCGTGGAGAAAATACCTGTTGCCACGGAGCGAGTGGACTAAGACGAGTTAGTGTCTTCTGTGAGTATTTTATTAACACATTTCTGCAGACAGGAGCAGCGAGTTGGATCAGATTGCTCAGAGACACGGGGTGTTAGAGGTTTTGGAAAACGGAGGGTTGCGTAATTGGAGGAAGACGCTCCGGCACCTGTTGAATTTAATATCCGTCTGTAACTTTTATTGAACGTTTTCTCCAACTTTTATGATTAAAACTGATATATCAATATGATATAAAGAAGGGGGATATACTCTGTGGCTAGTTAATAAATATAAATGTGATTTAATTATTTCGAATCGACCATAAAGTAATTTCTTCTGATGTATTTTTTCTCCATCTCATATTGTTTAAGTATAACAGAAAGCCTCATGACGTTGAATTGTCTTAGTTTTAAGAATAAAATGCATGCAAAAAAACAAGGTACCATCATTATTTAATGTTTAACAATCATGATAACTAATGAAGAATTATATTTACAAATATCAAGATTTAAAAATAGGAAAGAACCTTTTTTGTTTTGTATTAATCTATTCCAAGACTGGCTCTATATTTACTCTAACAATTAATAAAGCCACTCTGCCGTCTAAAATAAATTATGACTGTTTTTATATTTAGTTAATATTGTAAAACAGTTGCATTCTGGTTGGTTTTGTATCATTTGTCTCTTAAAAGTCTTCCCAACGCTGCCTGTATCTGTTAGATCCCTTAAATGTAATAAGCTGAGTAAATCAGATCACCAAAGAGCCTTTTTGAAGATTAAGTTTCACAGCATCTGGAGTCAATAGCGTTTCAAGTTCAGTTTGCTGCAGCTGCAACATTTCCTGTTTATTCTGTCTTAATCCCTCAAATACTTTCATCATATTGTGCATATCGTCAGAGCTGCAACACCTTTATTTTGATCCATCTTCTTCCTGTGGATTAACCCTCTGATCCTCTACTCCCTCCCTCGCTCCTTTGTGTGTTATAATTGCAGACTCACCTGACTGCTCTCCACACACCCACACCTCCCACAGTCCGGTGGGACCATGTGGGTTCTGGATAAGATCCGCGGCTCGGTGGAGACCAGCGTGCTGCGTCAGGGCGATAACGCAGATAGGAAAGGCGTCCCCTACAGCAACGTCCTCACCCCGGACCAGATCCCGGACTTCTTCATTCCTCCGAAGCTGGTCAGCGGCGCCCCGGAGCCAGAGCTTCTTCAAGTGAAACCCAAAGAGACTCTTCAACCTTCAGCAGCGTTGGAGCAGAGTAATGGCGGCGGCAGGAAGATCAGCAGCCCGAGGAGTCCCCGCCTGGTGGCCAAGATCGCCGGCGACACCAAGAACCTTCTGCGAGCCGCGAACCGCCACATCATCCAGATCGAGAGCGCGGACGATGTTGGCGACACCAACGCAGACCCTCAGTCGCAAACCGCCATGTCCCTGCCTTACGTTCCCAAGACTCAAACACCGTACGGTTTCGCGACGTTGAAGGAAAGCCCTCACACTCGCCGCAAAGAGTCGCTTTTCCACTGCGAGCTCAGCAGCCCCATCTCCTCCCCGAACACCCAGAGGAGGACCCACGGGAGGAGCAGCGATGCGGGGAACCATCTCAACCCCGCCGACTGCAACAGCTCCCACATGAACCCGTACCGCTACTTCAGCGGAGGCGAGAGCGACACCTGCTCCTCCGCAGAGTCCTCGCCCTTCAGCTCTCCGTTGCTTTCCCGCTCGGCCTCGCTGCTCAAGATCTTCACGCAGGAGACCCAGGCCAAAGTCGTGAAGGTCAAGCGGACGTTCGCTCGCCATAGCTCCCTCTCCACTGATGAGTGCAGCTCGGCAGAACCAAGCCCCAACATCCAGCGGCGGCTCCACGGTCCTTCCTTCGGTGGGGCTGGGCTGTCGGACCACCATCGGGAACACACCGTCAACCTGCACAAAGGTGGGACGATGAGGATCAGCGCCAACTACGACGCCGGCACCTCCCGCCTGCTGATCCGCGTTCTGGCCGCGGAGAGTCTCTATGACAAGCACTTTGACATCAAGAGCATCAACTGCTGCGTGTCCGTGTACCTGAACCCGGGAAAGATGCAGAAGCAGAGGAGCAACATCATCAAGAACAGCCGCAACCCGGTGTTCAACGAGGACTTCTTCTTTGACTCCATCAGCGCCGTGCAGGTGAAGAAGCTGTCGGTGAAGTTCAAGGTGGTGAACAAAGGCACGAGTCTGAAGAGGGACAACCTGCTGGGGGAGCGAGAGGTGCTCCTGACCAAGCTGCTCTCCGGGGTGTAAAGCACCTGGAGGTCAGAGGGGGGGGGGACACAGATTGAACGACAAATTAGATGTATGCACTGGTTTCTACTCATACTACTGTTTTTATTCCAATATATGTAAACAGAGTGGACTTTACGATGAAGAAGAAGTATTGAAATAGAGACTTTCTTTTTACACCAGTCATCAAAGGAAACTTGATGTAAGGATTTATGGTGTTGGACGTTTCCCTGGTTCCTTCTGCTCATTAAACCCAGCCTGGCTCGACAGCAGCAGATGAATTTCACAGATGAAAGCCAACCCTCTAGCCCACTCCCTTGACTGGTTCAAAGGTTGCACAACATCTGTGCATCCATCGCTGCCCTGCACTACTGTGTTCCTCGTGGTGTTTATCATTCTAATGGGACATAAATCCACAGCAGCGCAGGATGTGAAGCTACACTATCTGCGCGGCGTGTTCGGCACAAAGATGCTTTTGTGAATCAGAGCTTTGAAGTGGCACTACATCCTGATGTGCAAATGAACCTTTGATCCCAGTCCTCCTGCATGGGTGGGCGTCAGACAAACAATAGGCACATTTACATGCAGATCTGAAAAATGATTATAATGCAAAGCCCTAATTGCCACAATCTGTCAGTATAGTTATTAACGGGATGAAGAGTTCCAGGAAATGTCTAGGTTGTGCCTGTTATTTTAACAAAGCGTTAAAGTAAAGGTTCCCGCAAACACACGTTTTATTTAAGTCAGTTGTTCTAACTTAAATGAATTGTGTGAATCCTTGAGGTGTAACTTACTTATAAGTTCAAATCCTGCATTGTTTACTTCCTAGTTTGCTTTGAAGCGATCGTCTCCTTGACAGCATCTGTGGGTGCATTGATACGTTTTGAATTTAGCAGAACATTGAAAAACCAACGATAGAATGAGGATTGCTAATTGAAAATAACTACGTTTATTTTTCTTGAAACCTGCGCAGGATTGTTTTACCCGTTTTATCTTCCAAGTTGTATTACAAGCTAAATACAAATAAAAGGTTGCTACTCGTGCAACATTGAGAGACTCGTTTACAAACTAGCTAATTTCTATTGGAAACAGGTCCAAATATTCTTACCGCCCTTTGTATTTTCTATAAAATCTAGGTTTTCAAAACTCATTGTCCAGAATAAGTTCACACAGGCTGGAGGAATCTGGAGCTGAAAGGAAGAACATATGATAAACGTTCCCTCATTTCAATTTCAGTTTGGCTGATGAGATATTTGGAGCCTTTTGAGGAACCTGTGAGCACGATCCACTGCACCCTGTCACGAAGGCCTCATTCACTGTGGGCACCTTGATTAAATCTCGTGCAACCAGGCAACGAGCTCTCGCCTCGTCTTCACTCTGCATTCAGACCGGTTCCATAACGCCGTCTTATTCTGCACAGACTCACAGTCCAAGATGATTACTTTAGTTTCCCTTTTTTTCAGGCAGTCACGCAGCCTCATTGAAATCTGCCTCTCCAACCTTCTTCTCTAAAGCACTTCACATATTTCCAGTTGTTGGATAATTTTGATCTCAATGGGACAAGAAATTAGCTGATTAAAAAGCTACACTTGTCTGTCATGTAAAGCGAATTTAACAGTCGGCCATTTATGCAACCAGTGCCGCTGCCTTAGTCCCAGTATTGGCAGATACAGTACCTGTGTGCATGTTAATGTATTAAATGTCTCATATGAGAATAACAGAGCACTGTAGTAACAGTTGCATGGCACACATGTCACTGACATACTGGTGTTTGCATGAAATGTTCAAAGTGTGATGAAACCCTAAAGCCTTACGATGTATATGTGTGTGTGAGAATGAGAGAAAGTGTGTGTGTTTTGATTAGCATGACATTTTGTCCTATGTTTTCTATGTACGACATGTTTTGTAAAATGCTTTTGTTGGATTTGTACTGTATATATATCTACATAATGTACTAGCTTCTACGATTGTCAGCCAATTATGCACCAGCGAGTGAGCAGTGATCATGAGAGGCATTTTAATTACGCCTGTTTCAACTTTAATTACGCCCAAGGGGAAGAGGTAGAAATGTCAAGAGTCAAATAAGGAAAACAAGGTAACGAGGAAGACAATATTGAGTGTTTTGACGTAAAAAGCAGCTCTTTGGATTATGAGAGCAGACAGAAAATAAATCAGAGACATCACAGAGATGCAAATTACTGAGGCGCCTCACACACAAAGAGCCTTTCTCTCACCTGGTGATTGTCGCTCCCTTGTAGCACTGTTGTTGATATGCTCTCTCTATATATTCGTTATACACAGTGAAACTGCTGGTCGGCTTTGTTTTGGTGTGAAAGTCAGTGATCTGTTTCCTGCTCGTACAGTTATAGCATGACTAACATACTTCAGTGGTGACTTTCAGTGGATTCATATCGTGCAGTGGTGAGTCCAATGTGCTCTGATTCTAGATGAAGATTTACTGCTGACACAAATGTTTTTTACACCTGAAATATTGTTGATTCAAATAGAGTTCTGTTTTGTATTATTAGAAACAATTGCTTATGTGGCTTATCATTTAATAGAATGGAAATGCAGAGAGGAAAACAATAAACAGTAATCTGATTACCTCTGCTTACATATCTGAAGTCATATTAGGAGGTTATATCAGCGTTACACCTTTTTAAGTCTAATGCGTTTCAATCACAATGAAGACTGACAGATGGAAGAAAGGGGCCCTATTCTGCTCATTTTCAGGTTCAGGTTCATATTTGTATTTAGTGTCTCTACTGTGACATGTTTCCATGCTTTAATGTTAATGCAGCACCTCTTTTCACCCTCTGTCTGAAACCAGAGCCCAGTCTGCTCTGATTGGTTAGCTGGCATGCTCTGTTGTGATTGGTCAACCGCTTAGGGATGTCCCGCCACTTAGCTTATCACGTACAATGTGTTGGAGCGCTGGCCAATAGGAGCGTGGGTGTTACATAGTGATGTCACTATTTTACGGATGTAAACAAAGAAGTCCAATTGAGGCGTTTCAGGCAGGGGGGGGGAGTGTGTCGGAAACCCCCAAAAGCATTACATTTGACAACTTTTGTCAAAACATTGGATTTATTGAATTGGTTTGTTCACTTCTGATTGCTCTGTGGATAGATTTTAAGCTGAGCCGGAGGTTTACCACATATATCTATACATATATTTAATAATGTTAAGAGCAGATTACTCCTGATAAGCACACTTGACTGCTTCTGAGAAAACACACATAAAAAACAAACGGTTTAAAAATGATGATGATTTTGATTCTTATCACTGTTGGGGAAAAAAGGTTTTGCCATTGGAAACAATGTTGTTGCAACCAAGAAAAATGATCCTCTGTTTGAGTAGACATTTCATTTCTATTGTACTTTCTACAACAATACTGAAATAATATGCCTACCTGCACCTTTAAAGCTAATTAACAATGCACTATATTGGGTGAATTAATTAATACACACTAAATTATAGCCTTGACACAATTGTGTTTTCAAGCCCCCTAAATGTTAAGACTAGTTACCATTGAATTTAATCTGAAATGCAATTCAAGATTTTGAATTGCAGTTTAATTTGTTACAATTCCAACATTACATATTTCTGTTGTTAAATTTGAATAAAAGTCACATATTTTTTGTTATCATTTTGACAAATAAGAAATAAATTGTTGATATTTTTATTAGAAACTAGTCAAAATTGCATTATGGATCATACTGTCAGTGGGCTTGAATACTAACGAGTCAAAAAGCAATTGTTGATGCAATTAATGCTCCTGATTACATGTTGAAATCTTTGCAGGTGTTCTGATATTGTAAAATGTGGACGTGTTTGTCAAGCTTACAACCAACAAAGCAATCAGGATTCTCCCTCTGAGAAACGTAATGGTAACGAACCAACAAACAGACACCATTATTCCCAGAGTCACGAACATTGTGTGGTCAAAACAAGGTTGTTTATTTAAAATGTTGATCTTTGTTTGGCAACGGGGGAATTACAGGAATCACCTTTCCTGTCATCCTGCTGCTGGGAAATCCGCTCGTATCTCCGCACTCAATAGCTGTTTAATTGAATAGGGAGAGACTTGACTGATAACATTTAAAATGAGAATTGAGTAAAGTGTGAGTGCCGCTGTGTGTGAGAGTGATGGATGTTGTTTTTCATTGACGTTTAAAATATATTGTACATAGGCTCGAGTCTGAATGTCTTGGCAGGATCTCTCTGAAAAATGAAAAGTGCTTGTCCTTTACTTGACACCGAAATCTTTCATTTATTTCCAGACGTAGATGAAGACGCTGTTGCTGTTTTCTGTTGTGAGTCTGGATTGTGCAGCTAGATCCCTTTTTTTTACTGTGATGCTACAACCTCTGACTGTCTGCTTGTATACTTGTGGATGTGAAAAACTTTAATTAAAGGAAAAGTTCTACAGCATCTCTGCTTATGTCATTTTTGTATTCGAAGTGTCACGATTTCCAGTACTATCAATAATATGATATGTATGATATATGCTGTTTTGGTCAGTAATATACTATCATATATATATATATATATCTTTCATTCAAGATGTGTTTATAAATGTGGCCCTTTTTTTTATTATAAGGATAAACCAAAGGATTAAATGTTGATAAATGTGCAGCAGAAATGATCACACTTTTTACGTTACATAAAAAAAGTTGTGATGAATTCGAGTTGCATTACTGTATTCGCCAATAATGAAAGAATAGATCTGATGAAATGAAATCAGATGTATTGGTCCGTAATAACCTAAAATCACCAGATGTGAAATCCTCCCTTTTCTTATGTTACGTTATATTTTAAAAGAACTGGTCAATTACAAAAATGCTTTGTCCCAATGACAAGAAAAGGATGGCATTTGTAAGACACATGGTAAATCAATCGTTAAGGATTGTAAAATGTGTGATGAAAATATTTTTCAAAAAGTCAGAACACATATTTTTCGAACAGAAAATACAATTTAACGTTATGGTAAACAATAGTAATGAATGATCACACATAACTATCCAAAAACAATATATATTGAACAGAAATAAAGCAAATGTACTGTAGTCATGCAGTCTTTTCATTGCACAAACAGTTTCTACTAACTGTTCCAAATGTTAGTGCTAAAGATATCCTTCATATCATTTAGCTACATGCTGCACCCTTCAAAATCTTTAACTCAAATAGACTGTGGCTATCACTCCTTTCAGCTCCTTTTCCAGCGTTTCCTGTCCTTTTACCAAAGACTGCAGGCAGTATAAATGGCACATAAGTGATCTTTGAAATAGCCCTTCCACAGAAATTATTGGGGGGTCTGAAGGAGCTATTTCTATAAAAATAACTCTTTGCTTTAAAAGCTTTTATTCAGCGGCAAGTACAGAGTCCCCGTAGTAAATATAGAACATATTCCAGTCCAGTTCGAAATGATTTTGAGTATGACATGACAAGAAAAAAACTGTCATGGTTTTTGGATTTATGTTGTTTCATTTTCCGCCTTTATTATTTTGAAATGTTTTCCTCCTTGTGTCTTGTCTGATCGTACCTGTGTTTGCCTCCCTGTCTTTAGTTTCCCTGGTGTGTCTGATTGTCTGATTGTGTTCACCTGTTGCCCTTGTGTTTCTGCCTCCCCTGCCCAGCTGTGTCTTGTCCTGTGATTACCCTTCTGTGTATTTAGTCTTGTTTTCCCCTGTGCTCCATGTTTGTTCGTCGTCGTTTTCATGTCCCTGCTACCTGCCGTCTCTTCGTGTCCATGTTCCCTGCCTCGTCTCGTCTATGCTTGTCCATGTCTCCTGCCTGTTCCCTGTAAGTGTGTTCCTGTCTGTTGTGCTCCCCGGTTTTGTTAATTAGTTTCTTGTTTTTCCTGTCTTCTGCTTTTTTTTAATAAAGCTCGCTTTTTGTTACCAAACCTTTTTGTATTTTTAACTGCACTATTTTCCCCAACCCTGACAAAAACACTATCTTTTTTTGGATTATACATATATAAGTAATATCACCTTTTTACATTCTTTCAAACAGATGTTATAAATAATATTCCTGTTCAAAAATACATAATTTGTAGGCCAAAAATGCCAAACAAAGTTCAGGTAAATCTGCATTATGTTTGTTTCAATATGATCTTTTTGTTGAAATTGGGAAATGACTTGGAGCATTACAAAAACATGCAGTTAAAACGACAAATGGTCGCCAAGAATACAAACTAATTCAAACGGGTAAAAAGAAAATAAATCGACAAAACGAGATGACTTTCTGGTGCAAATTAAGCGATTGAAATGCATCCACTGAAAGAAGCTGAATCAATTTCCCCCAAAGACTTAACAATGTGCTCTTCTTTAAGTGGTAGTATCACTGGCAGACTTTTCTAATGAAATCATGGAGGAGTTGACTTGTGTTGACAATTAGGTTTTATCCCAAGACAACAAACTAAAACTGACATCGAATGACGCATAAGATTTATTTAAATTACAATTTGGTCAGTATTAAGAGACTCGGTCGAGGATTGGAGGCTGTGGCTCATTGAATAGTGTTCTGCACTTCCAATCAGGGGATAGCAAGTTCGAGTCCCACTGCAGTCTGCATGTCGTTGTGTCCTTGTGCACTTCATGAAATACCAAGTACACTGCATGTGTTGTGTCTCGTCAACTTTGTTAGTTACGTATTATGTCTGTCATTCCAAGTCTAGTCAGGTTTTCATGTTATTTCACGTCATGTAATTTCTGTCTATTTTTGTCATGTCTCGTTTTCCATTTCCTGTTTTATTTTGTACTTACCTCTTGTCTCATTTCAGGCCCTGTTACTTCCTCCCTTTGTGTGTTTCCCCGCCATCGTCAGCCCCACCCCTGATTGTTTCCACCTGTTCCCACTCACCTCATGTTTGAATAGTCCTGTCTTCCCCTGTCCTGTGTCAGTTCGTCTTTGTTTCACACGTATGGTCGTGCCAGGCCTCAGCAAAGAGAGGATCGTTTCCAGTTATGTCAGGTTTTGTTATTTTTGTAGACTTAAGTTCTCTTTTTGTTACGCTTAGTTTTTTCCTCCTTGTGAGCGCCTTTTGTTTAGTGATGACGCTTTGAAGCTTTCCAGCCAATTGGTTCTCACAAGGCTTCATCATGGGCTTCATTTGAACACAAACCCCCTGTTGGTCAAAGTGTGTAAAACAGGCAGATTGGACATCTCAACAGTGTGCTCTATCGGTATGAGATAGTCTATCTCATACCGAGTTCCCAATGAGTAAAGCCTTAGAATAACGCTAAACAACCAACATTAAATCATATTCTCATGTTAACAATATTGTTTTTATTCCAGTTGAATGATTGTGATTGAAAATCCTAAAGAGGGTGGTAAACATTGCAAAGAGGGATTGGTATTCCTTAATAATATTTGTAAATGTAACCATGTTGTAGCCGGAGAAAGGCTAAACCATATCAAAGAATACATTTATTAACTACATTATCTCATTTAGCTGTAGCTTTTATAAACAACAAAAAAGACGTATTGTTCAGTCGTTGGACCAGGGACCCTGCGGTCATGAGTCGACTGCTTTCCAGCTGAGCCACAGCACACACGCCGAATCTCACTGAAAACACTGGACCACATTTATTCCTGTATTTATTTATTCATGTTTTTATGCCTACATTTATTTATGCTTGTATCCATTTATACTTATGACATCTTCCGACATATAAGTGAGGGTCTGAGCTCTTTTAATTCCATCGTGTCACCGGGCCCGGGTACAGGAGGGGTAATATGGTTCTTATTATACATCCATGGTTATTATGAGCATTGTGGTTCAACGGATCTGAATCGCTTCCTGAAGCAGTCACGTGGTATCGACAGGCAGCGAGGCTTCGTTTGTCATCGATGACGTCACTGGCCCAAAACGATACAAGCCTCGATACATGCTTCACAAAAAGCTTCGGGGATTACTCGACACACGCTCCGAAGCCTCGGTGCAATACATAACATCACTACTTTTGTTATTCCAGTACCTACTCTGTTAAAAGTGATTTTTTGTTCTTTGAAATTAAAAATACATTTTTTGTTACATTCAAGACTGTCTCTGGGTCGTGCATTTGGGTTCTCTAGTTTGTCGAGGTCGTGACAGCTTGTGATCTGTCTGCTGACAACAGCGTCATTAAGTGACATTTAATAATTTTCATTAATCAAATTAAAGTTGTCATGCTGAGACTCAAAATGTTGCAGTGATTGTTGAACGTCCGGCACATTCAATCACTGGTTTACAGAGCACCATTTCTGTTTTGTCTTATTCTATTTCACATGCATTTCACATATTCCTGCATTTTACCTGCACAATTATATCACATGCACAATCTTAGGAGATTGGAGGTTTAGATTTTCTTTCCCAAAAACTACCACTAAATGTGTATCTGTCGTGCAGATGACAATATAGCCCTTGAAATCTTGAAGTATTTCCTCGCAAAGCTGGTGGCAGACATTGTATTATGACAGATGGTGACACCTAAGTAGATGACTTTGGTGGGCCAAAAATAAGTGGCATCAAAAGATTCATAAATATTACAATTCTGCAGTGATACGTTTTTACAAGTTTGGTACATACTCTGGAAAACATGCTGTAAATGGGAAGTATTTTGGTTATGTATTGACATTAATTTTTTAAAGGTCACCTATTATGTAAAATCCACTTTTCCATGTATTTTCTACATCACCCATGTGTCCCCTCTTCTTCATGTCTCTTCTACAATCAACATGTTGTCCCCTCTTCGTCCATGTCTCCTCTACATCAACATGTGTCCCCTCTTCTCCATGTATTTTCTACATCAACATGTGTCCCCTCTTCTTCATGTCTCTTCTACATCAACATGTGTCCCCTCTTCTTCATGTCTCCTCTACATCAACATGTGTCCCCTCTTCTCCATGTCTCCTCTACATCAACATGTGTCCCCTCTTCTCATGTCTCTTCTACATCAACATGTGTCCCCTCTTCTCATGTCTCTTCTACATCAACATGTGTCCCCTCTTCTTCAGGTCTCGTCTTCTCATCACATGTGTCCCCTCTTCTTCATGTCTCTTCTACATCAACATGTGTCCCCTCTTCTTCATGTCTCTTCTACATCAACATGTGTCCCCTCTTCTTCATGTCTCTTCTACATCAACATGTGTCCCCTCTTCTTCATGTCTCTTCTACATCAACATGTGTCCCCTCTTCCTCATGTCTCTTCTACATCAACACTTGTGTCCGTCCCCTCTTCTTCATGTCTCTTCTACATCAACATGTGTCCCCTCTTCTCATGTCTCTTCTACATCAACATGTGTCCCCTCTTCTTCATGTCTCTTCTACATCAACATGTGGTCCCCCTCTCTTCCCTCAAATGTACCCCTCATCATTCTTCATCAACATGTGTCCCCTCTTCTTCATGTCTCTTCTACATCAAGCATGTGTCCCCTCTTCTTCATGT